TTTTCCCGAATTTCCCAAGAATTTTGCTGTCGAGCGCGGCGGGAGTATAGTACACATGAAACAGGAAAAATCACGAAAAGTCAACAACCGGGAAAAATTTTTCCCAACGCGGCAAATTTCTCTCAAAGCCACATACGACCCCTCTCTTTCCCAACAACGACCAAATAAACCAACCCTCCTCCCCTCCCCAGCGGCCGAGTACGACCCTCACTTATGTATTCCACACAATGTTGCTGTACTCTGATTACAACCCCTCGTAGCTCTGCTTGTGGAAATGCAATGCAGCTTATGAAATGCTCTCAAGTACTGAATGGGGACGAAATGCTTGCGTGGAAATCCTCGCCAGACTGTCGTTTTTCTGACCCGCATAATCAGATCTTCAAGAGATTATCTCAATCAGATCATCCTGCATAAGCATAAGGCGCTATCTAACACCTCCCTGAATAAGAGAACTTGCTTGAGCTGGGATTTAGCACTCTCTCTCGAGTGGTGCAGCTCGTCACTGCCATAATAGGAGCTCTTTCTAAGACGTTTATTGATGCTTTTTGCATACATATAATGACTAAGTCCACCCTGCCAGGCTCTGACGTGGCTACCTCCGCTCTTGCCGACTAAATCCGATGTGATTGCTAAGCTACGATAAAGCCGCATATAGGAAAACGAGCGACTAATTGATCGCAGACACTATTAACGAACGACTAATTGAATCCTTCCGTCGTATTCTATGCTCAATGAACGAATTTGAAGGGCAGAGTGGAGACTCGCCCAGCTGCTTATGACTATCTACACTAGTATGGACAATCAACTAGCCAAGAAGCCCAGTAGTACAGTAAAACTGCCACCTTACAGGCACAATTATTCAATTAAGGAGCCAGAAAAAGAGACATATGGGTTTAATCACCTCAACTCCATTTCCTTCTGTTTCTCTCTAGTCTCCAGCATCTTTTTTCCTTCTTCACGACGACGACGCTCCTTTTCTATCTAAACAATAAATAGAATAACAATAAGCTCCACTGGATTTGGTCACAAAGATATTGACAACACCTCCTCTTTTCTCGCCTGCTCCTCTTTGAGCGCACGAGCAGCTCGTATTCTGTCACGCAATTCAGCCTCTTTCTTAGCACGTTCTTCCGGCGTCAAGGCAGCTATGACCTACAAAACGACGGCATCTTACGCGCAATCCTGGGAACAATAAAGAGTAAAGCCTTTCGCAGGTCGAGCAATCCCTTTTCGGGATGCGGACGCACCCTAGCGCCACACAACCTATACAATGACTTGCGGGTTTGCACAGTGTTCTTATCCCTCGATAGGAGACTAGTAGCAATTTATGTCCCCGGAGAATAGAAGGCTCGATTGGCTTGAGCGGAAACCGATCGGGGATCTCAGACCGTGCGCGGTGACGGAACCCCGGATCAGCTTCCTCGCCCCATCCCCCAGGCTAACCAACCTACCCTAAGCGACGGTACAGTGGAACAAGATTCGTCTGCAAGGATAAGGATACTTGATCAGATTTATGATTAGATAAATATAATGTACTCAACTGACCTCAGTGCTCTCCGAGAAGTTCTCGTGACCAGACTTCGCGGCGTGAAACATCATACTATTTTCGTCACGAAATAGCTTATTGCAGCTGAAAAGAGAGGAAACGCGAACAACCTTCGTTTGCCAATCAACGGGCACTATTTCACGACCATAATGCCCGGAATGTCAAGGCTCCCGCAAAAATCATTACTGCTTGGGCCATTCGGTGATTACAGACATGACAGCCTTCTTACGACGTCGCCATGTGACAGCAGAAGCTTTTCAATGAATTTCGTCATTAGCTTATTCACAGGAGTTTTATTGCTCTGATCACGGATATAAAAATCGTTTTTGAATGTGGTCCTAAAACCACGACATGGCTGTCTTTTGGCGGTGTCATGTTTGACTGTTACATTCGTGATCAAGGCATTAAACAACTTCGTGGACGAGATTTCAGCGAAGAGCTTGACATTTGCGGTTCTAATAGTGAGGCAGTTTCAATTAAAACCTACTCATTGCATTTATAACTGCCTGGAGTCGATTCTGTTAGTTCAGCCTCATTCGGTTTACCGTCCGTCGCAGCTACAGCATCCTCTGAAGGCGTTTCTGGTATTTCCTCACCTTCGTGACTAATTAGCCAATCCATGACCTATTGAAAACACCCAATGATAAGCAACTTGCAGTACAACAAGGTTCACTACTAAGTTTCCACAAGCAGTAGTCGCCTGCATGGATTTATCGATACCAAAGAACATAGGTACCTGTTCTAATGCACCATTTCCCGTTTGCGCATACGCGTATTCGGCACGAGCTCGGTCGAAGCCCATATCAACGAGTTGGTCAACCACGGTTGACATCTGTAATAAACTTCTGAAAACGAGGAAAACACAGTCTAAAAATAATAAAAGGAAACGGAATAAGTACCCGAAGATAATCGGATGCTATCGAATTGTTGGCTAGACCTAGTGATGAGGAATTGGTGAGCGAAATCCACGCTGCAGCGAAGTGCACAATGCACAACTGTCAAGAAGACATCCCAGATACAGGAGATAAAGAGTGTTTAAAGGTATCAGTGCGACCGTTTGACGATCTTAAACTTCGGAAGGGGCATTGTTGATAAGAGTCACATTTCGACGCGCCCTCGCTTTCTAAATTAGGTTCTTTTCCATGGGAGCGTCAAGACAGGATGGGTGAAAACTTGCCCAGTTTTGCTCAGAAAATCGTTCCGCAGATCTTGAGGACAAATTTGAGATCATCGTTTCAGAGCACATATGGCGGTATATTTTCTGAACAGGGCGCGTCCTGCTGTTGGGGGAAAATTTTGCAAAACACGACCACTCCCCTCAGAACTTCCTCCACTGGTACTCCTTCCCCCCCCCCCTTCCAAATCTTATTACGTACCACCTCCCTAAACCTACCACTTGAGTTTTTTTTAAAACTTCCTAGCTTTTTCTCTAAAATGCCGTGGGGCACAAGGGAGGTATAGCCTACGTGTAGTGGTCAGACCAGAAAAAAGTCAACAACCATAGAACGTCCTTCTAAAGGCAAACACGACCCACCCACCCCCCCCCCTCTTTAGCGACAAGATGACCAAATACGACCCCCTTCGCTGAGGAACCTCAACGTAGGACGCGCCCTGCCATGGCTGCCGAGTACCTAAAGACCTAAGACCCTACACGGTTCTTACTTTGCTATTGTACCCATGTAGATCTACAAGTAGAACAATGCTGGACCGCACCGATATTCAACAGATTCGGTACCGAACAAAAAAGGGAAAATTCTCAGACCAACGACCAAAATACTTCGGAGAACGGCTTTGATCATTCAAACACCAACAGCCACCAAAAAAGAACGGAGCGACAGTGGTGCAAGCTACTGAATTCAGCACTTCATACGCATTGCTATAGGACCCTAGCCAACATCGCTTTTAGAGCACATTTCGGGTTCTACATTTGCTTCCCCCTTTTTGGTTCACGTAGCACCCTAGAAGGGAAAGTTAAACACGCGGCAACAAATTTCAGAATATAAGTGCACCAGCACTCAAAAGGAAGTTCACAGGTGTTAGCTTGTGCAATGAAGCACTCAATTACACTTCAATATCCCAGAGATGGGAAGGGCGGCTCCATGTGAACGTGACGGTTGCTGCGCTTTCGGTGGAACATTGGGACACTTGCAATTATGTGCTCTTCAGCAAGACAGGTCTAAAAAGATATCCAAGCAGATGCGCAGCACATCCATATCCCGAGATGGGGGAACGCTGCCACGCCCTCCCCATCTCGGGATATGGATGTACACTGCATCATTCCGTATTACTTCCAGAGGTCCTGACAAAATATAAGCGTGAAGTTACACTCAGTCCCAAGTCCAATGCCATGTAATGAAAAATGTTTTCAACGCCACTATACAAAGAGCTCCTGTCCAAATGCTTGAGAGGATCCATTGTGCAGGTAGGTGCTGAGAAAGTCTCCAGATCACCCGGAAAGAGAGCCACACGACTTCGGAGTGGGCAAACACCTACGGGGCACCAAAGAAAGTATGAAGTGACTTGTGACTTCAAATACTTGGATACTTGGCTAAGGGCGAAGTCACTGCATGGCGCAGTTCGGCGAAGGAGGGCATTCAATACATTCGCTGTTCACTAGTTCCGTTTCTAAGTCTCCTTCTGGTGAAACCTGTGAACCCTGGTAAAGCTCTCGTCCAGCCACCGTGGTGAAAGCTCAACTCATGTAAGCTCACGAAAAGGCCCTTTAGATGGGTCGACACGCTATTGGAAAGTTGCAAAAGCGCAAAATAACCAGCCCTTCCCCCCCCCTCCCAACCCAATGCTGAACTGTCCCCATTGCAGAAAATGTATTTAGAAGAGAAAAGCAGCAACGTATAGCAAGACCAGCGGATCCTGTGACAGAGCAAGATCATAGCTGAAGAGAAGAAAGAGAACACAATAGAAATCGTTAGTGAAACACTGACGGCAGTATAAATGAAACGAACACAACCTCAACAACCAAGTACACCACCTCAGATATTCTTCATTCTGACACAGGTAAATACGACTAGGTATACATCATATCACAGGTATAAATCTAGACGCGCATTATTCCACCGAAATAAAATCACTCGTTTTTAGTAGTACAATAGCAATAGCCGATGAAGCACTAGTAGTAGTAGTAGTACAGTACAACAATAGCCTACATAATCCACATAAAACGTTCAATATACAAAGACAATAGTGCTTTCGCATCAAAGGTTTGAAAAAAAACTCTTATAGACATTCGATTGGAAGGGTTACGGAATGTCTGTTTATGCTTGCATCTCTTACTATTCCAGAATTGATTTATAGCGGAGAACAGGCTGAGGCTTCAAAAGATTTCCTTGGAAGAAGTTAAGAAGTGAATAGATCAAATCATGTCATAAAACAGAAGACGCAAGTCAATCGTACAATAACAAGAACATTTCCGCAAGTTGTTACTGTGTTGGTCTATCCGTGCTTAAGAAGGTTGCATAGCTAGAACTTTTCAATCTCGACGATGAACCTAAACCTTTAACTAGGATTAAATCGTTAGCCTATTAGGCTCAGAATTCCAGCTATTGGGCCCGGTATCACGTTTAACTCGTTAGTTAGAAATCAAAGTGAATAAGTCGCGCATAATCCACATATAACGTTCAATTATACATAAGACACTATCATGCTTTCGCATCAAAAAAGTTTTGAAAAAAACCTCTTATAGACCTAATTCGTATTGGGAAGTTATGGAAGATGTCCTGTTTCGTTTTTGCATGCACATATTCCAGGCAATTGATATTTTTTACATTTTTGTTTTTTTTTTTTTTTTTGTAAAATAATTAAAAATTATAGCCGGGAAAGCTGGCCTTCAAGATTTTCCTGGCAAGAAAATGGTTTCAGAAGTGACCAGATAAATTCATGTCGAATAAATAACTCCGTCAATCGTTACAATCAAAAACCAATTCGCAGTTGTTACTTGTGTTTGATACTATTCGCGCCCTTAGAAGGTTTGATATACCTAGAGACTTTCATCTGATATGATCTCCCACCGCTTTCCAATTGAATCTCGTTCTTTGATAGGTTCATGAATTCCATTTTTTTTTTGGCCTGTACAACATTTAACTGTTAGTTAGAAACTTAGGATTTAAGTCGCAGCGAGTCGTACGGTGCAGGCACAAGACCAAGGAGTACCACCAAAAGCTTTCTTCTAGGATTTTTCGGCCCGTCGGCCAGTATTTGTTGCAACACCTAGCGCCGGACATCCCTCAACCAGCTTCGGAATCATCAGGCATAATAAGGGAAGTTTTCAGTCTATCCGATTAAACAGCGAATCCATACCGAGCTGGTATATTGTTTTAGCACCAACAGCCTAGAATAAGTATTCATGACATTAATGTCAGACAGATATCGTTCTGCAAAAAAAGTGGGGCATATATTGTGATATGTAGGCCGCTTGGAGGGTCGCGGCGGCGATGAATCAGTTTTTTCCATAGTCAACGGAAGAAAAGCTGCCCATACTAGGGTCGTCCATGCAACTCTTCAGAAATCGTAAATCATTTGTGAACGAAAATGGTGTTTGTAGTGCTTGCTTCTAATTTTCTGGTCGCTGCTTACCTCCTCCTAGCACACTTAGCAACGCCAAAAAAATTGATGTAATCAAACGTTCAAGTTATTTGTAGTACTAGATTGGGAGATCAATATATATCATCCATTTAAGTGATGCAAGTCTGGAATCTGCAAGGATTCATGCAGATACCGATATTCGCATCCTAACATTGCAGGCTGAAGAATTCTGGCAAGTTAACCAATCACCGCTTTGTATGGCCATGATTCATATTTCTACTAATCTTAGGACGGTTCTTGTAAACGATTAAAAAAGAAGCCTGTGTTCAAAATTTCGTTAGCGAGAAGGAAACAATTAATCCGACACCCGAATGGCGGAAGATTGGGTGGGTCAATGTTGGACTCTAGTTTGAAACCGGGAATGTGCTTTTTAATGAAATGGCACTTAACAAGGGATGGTCTCCAGGCCATGGCTGCTTTTTAGAAATGGTTTGTTTGCATTTGTTTAAGGATTCATATAATGGATCGCTCACCAATAATGGGTTTTCGTTTTCGCTATTTCGATTTCTGGAATGATCAAAAGAAACATGAGTGAAAACTTTGCTGAGGAAAAGAGATTTTGAACGCATATGTCTCTAGTGCTCTTTTCTATTCTTATGCCGAGTTATGACCATAGCAAAATGAGACCTTTCGTTTCACAACTGCACCGAAAACAATACAATCGAAAAGGTAAAAAAGTATTTTATATTCAATCACAGGAAAGTACATTTGTAGCTTCTCAAGTGGTTCTTCGCATCCATCCTCAATTCGCAGTTAGGCCTGGGGGGGTGTTCAGATCCATGTTTGGCGGCCAAATGACCAGCGCGCCATTATAAAGTCAGTAACCTGGTGATCAGGCCCATAATTAATACCTCTATATTACAGACTTTCAGCGACATTTTTTTCTCGACTGTAGCTATATGTGGACTTGTTTTAACATGTTGGCTTATCATATCCTGCACAATTATTTACTTGTACGCATATTCTTATTTCAACGTGTTTGATCCTCTCCTACCTATTTCGTTCGCATGGATGTTGGTATTACGTCATCACGTGTGCGTGACGTGTACATTATACTCTTTCATTACACTAGCTATCACTCACCGAGCTTGCATTTGCAGTAAGTACAATGCTCTGCACATTTGCCAACTGTGACAAAACGTACCTGTCGCCACTTGTTTGGTTTTGGCTCTCACATTTCGGCGCTGAATCAAAAGAACCATACAAGCTGGTGGATACATACGGTGAGGACGTCATCTCTTACATGACATGCAAGAATTGGTTCGCCAAATTCAAGAAAGGAGACTTTTCTCTCGAAGATGCTTTACCGAGGTTCGGGTCGGTCCGATGGATGTTGATTTGGAAGTACTACGTTCTCACGTGGGAGGAACGGCGTACCTCACCAGCCGAAGAAATGGCGACTCATCGCTATGCTAGATCATGTTCGAAAGGTTGACTGGACTAAGAAAAGCTCGCCAAAGGTAGCAAACTTGTCGATGAGTGGTCCCTACATTGGAACTGGTCCTATGCCTCTCAGAGGAGGTGACTCACTGACCTCACCTTCTCTCCCACTGCTGATCCTATAAAGACTGTCACTTCTCCAATCGATCGATCGACTGAAGATGAGAATGGGGTGCCTCTACAATTAACCGCTGGTAGGATGCGGGCGTGGTCGACAAAGAGAATCAGCCAAGCCACCTCCAAAGGCCGACCTTTCAATCTCTCAAAAAGGTTCTCCGTCCTGTTGGTGGTCCAAAGAGGCAATGGCAGTTACTGGGACAGCTGCTCGGAGAAGGGACACGACCGGATTGGACGCTTCCTACTACGAAACAGCTGCGGTAAATCTGAAAGATCAACGGTCGACCGTACTCGTTGAAGGAATGCGGATAATCTACTCAACCATGAGCAACGTCCGCTCACAACTGCAAAGACACCCAGTGCCTGAGCCGGAAATACGGATGCTGAGGCATAGTATGGAGGTCCCATCCTCGCCTACACCCTGCACCTCGCTCGACTTCTGACTTAACTGGGCTGTTCAGCCACCTGCAGCGCTATCTGGACGGAAAAAAGTTCGAAACAAAGGATCAGGTCAGAAAGGCGCTCGACGACTTCTTCAAGTCCCAGCCTCCGTCGTTCTGGAAGGATGGAATCGACAAGCTGCCTGAGCGCTGGCGTCGAGTAGTGAATGGTGATGGTGCATACCTCTAATCTCCAGGCTGGTCGCTTTGAGCTATTTACAAAATAAAGATCGTAATATAAAAACTTAATGACGAACAACCCTAATAGTTATACAATCTTCGATATCTGGTACCTTTCCTATTTAACTAATATATATCCTGACTCATCAATCTAACAACTATCAAAAATTTCAAAAAGACATTATAATGTTTGCCCAACATCTACACCTGAAACAGTTAAAGTGGACCGTACGGCTGAGCGCTATTAGGTCCGACATCAAACTAAGTTTCGTTCAATTGATCATCCGAAACTCCAAATTTTTTTTGTGGATACTCGTAATGCAGGAGTTAATTGGGTAGGCGACCCGCTCACGATTCTGACACCTTCATTTTATGCGCCGAGGCCATTTGACGCCAGCATGGCGCTTAACAGCCCCTGCGTGCGGGTTGACAACGATTTCAGTGCAAGAATGCTCTTGCAGCAAATCGGCGATAGGTTGCGCCGTGGTCAAATAATAAGCGTCGTAGCTTGTGAGTAAGGGCATCCAATCCTCGCAGCCCAACTTTTAGCAAGAATTTCCATGCAGTTTAATGTTTCAGAGCGCAATAGTTACGTAGGTCGATCGTGAACATATGAGGTTACATGAGGCTTTACAATGCATAATCATTTAAATAATACATCATCGTACGCAACGCAGAACACAACGGAGACGGAAATCCGAAAAATGCAAAAATTAAGTCAGGATGAACGATATACAGGACTCACCTTTTCGAAAAACAGCCATCCATTATCTCCATTCGCACTATCCACAATCCGCCATCCGTCGAACCAACGGAACTTTTGGTTGCGGTAATCGTTGAAAAGTAACTTTAAGGTAATCTAACTTCTCTCCATGCATTTCTTTTTGACTTTATTTTGCTCTCCTTTTGACTACAATATTAATGAAACAATACTTCATACACATGCACTCTCAAATTTGTCAGCTAAGCGGAGCCCAAATAGCCGATTAAAATCGCCCTTTATTGTCAGATTGATTTTCACTCATTTTTGCATTCCCATAAACGCATAGCAAAAACGAAACCCATTTTTGTGACCCTTATATGGACCCCTACAACATGCAACAAACCATTTCTAAAAAGCGCGCCATGACCTGAAAGACCTCCCTTGTAAGGACCCTATACCACTTCCAATCTCTTACACATTAATAGTAATATTACTCATTCAGTCAAATCGCAGTCAGGCAACAGAAAAATATGAACAAGAAAATCAACCTGAAGGGCAGTCACACTGCATTAGGGAGTCGCAGCACGATTAGCGTTCAATTTGTTAACCAGTAGCCAGCCGCCATCTCCAGGAGTGGGTGAAGCGAAAACATGATCAGCTGGAGAGCGATCTGTCGTAAAACCATAACTTACAAACAGCTCGTTTTTCTGCATATTTCCATGCTCAGCAATACGGAAGCTCCCTTATAACTAGTAATTACCTGCTATTTGGCTACAGTGCGTACAACTGCACATGGCGGCCTCTCGTGGATCAATTGCAACACGAGGAAAAGAACAATGACACCGATATGATGAAGTGTTATTGTTCTCAAGGCATCGTATACAACGCCATGTGACATGATGGAGGGGAGGATCAGGTCCTTAAACAATACAACTTCCACTTTACTTCCAATACAACTTGAAACAAAAAGTATTCTGTTGAAAAGAACAGGATCACTAACTCGGTGGTGGTACTGATCTTGGAGACGACTTTCGAAGTCCATCCACCTCTTTCTGAAGACGTTCGACATCTTCTACAAGATCTTCGAAGCTCGATTCATTCTGCATCTAAATATCAAATCCTTCTATAGAGACACACAATCAGCGTCCAGCAACAGTACCGCAAGACCCCTGCGTGCGTTTGAGGCTCGAAAACTAACCGCATTTAGCTCATCAAGGAAAGTCTCTGCCACAAAGTCTGCGATCATTTGTTGATCTTGACGGCATTTTTCAATTTGTTGCTTTGTAAACTGTATTCGCTCCTTCACTATATCGAGTCCAACTTGTTGGGCTGAATTTTCAATTATTCAAGCAAATTATGACTCTGCAAGTCGAAAATGAGCTCGGGTAGGCTACGAACACAAAATGGGCCTCTAGACAAACGAAGACACAAGTATCCTACGTACAAGCCGTGCGCGTCGCGCGTACGATGGCGTCCAGCGCGGCCGCGCTGCCGCACGCCGCCAAGGTCCATTTTCCAACCAGTTTGACGGGACAATGAAACAGCTTGGTGGACGACGAGCTGCGTAAGCAGTCACTGCCGCTTGCCGAACGAGAAAAAACAAAAGGCTGTTAGCGTTCGCATCCAAACCGCAGCCGCGTCGACGCAGTCTGACACGCCCCATCATCCGCAGGCGAACTGAGACTATAAGCATATCCGCCGAAGCTGCGCCAACTATTCAGATCGTTTTCGTCTGCGTCCAACTCCACCGTTTTCAAGCTTGCCCGAGCTCACCTAAGGCAAACATACCTCGAATAACAGAATCGACTGCATGATAGGGCTCAGGGGTGTCTGGAGCGGTTAACCATCCGTAACCTGAGCCAGCCACTTCATTGCCATAAGTGTTGATAAAAAGGCTGGGTAGTGGTGGTAGCGACTTAAACGTTCACCTTCACGAAATCAAACGTCACTGCAAACCAGTTTGGAATTTTCCCTTACCAGCGGCCGGTGCACTAAGTTTCCTGTGATCTGTTTCGTCAAAAGGTGAGTGCTGCGAGTCATCCGTTGAGGGAGAGTGAGACATGCGCGAAAAAGGCTGTTAAAACAATTCACTAATAATAATGGGCGATCAATGACAACGAGCCCGAGGTTTTAAATGCAATATGATTTGTTTGATAACTATCATTATAGCCCAATCGGCACTATTCTGCTATAACAACATCAGAATTCAAAAAAACTGGAATGAGCCATAAGCAATGGCGCTTTTTCTTGATTAAAATTTACATTAATGATGAAAAGTTTATGCCACTGAGAAGAAACGGCCACACAAGCTCCTGGTCAGCCGCAAAAGCTGTTGTCACTTCCTGCCACCTCTGCACTGAATATGCCGCGCCCACGCTTAATTCTAACGAGTCGCCCCCTTCCCCTCCTCCCACGCTGAAAGCTCTTCAAAAATTCCCCTGAGGCTTTCTGGCGCATACGATATTATCTGCTCACAAACTCACGCTTGACAGGAAAAAAAAACCTTGCGCAGAAAGTAAGAAGTAGTAAGGTAAAATGTAACCTCAAACTTCAGCTTTCGTCCCGCTCTCTTGCCTGCATAGCGCCATGCAACCCTTATACAATCCTCCTCTAGGGACCTGCTTCTTCTCGTTGATGAGAATTGTGTCCAGGGGAATCGTGTGAAGGATGGTGTTGAAGCCACGTCCCGATTATAAAAATGGTGGAAGTGGGGACAAATGGAGCTGAAGAGGGTAGCAAATTCAAGGAGTGAAAAGAAGAATAAAATGTCCCATGAACGGCTTTCAATTAATCTCGGCATATATGTAGTATATAGTACAGTAGCTTGATCGTTTAGCCTTCCGAGATTGGTAACGACGTTTATTAGACTAACGTTTCGGCGAAAATCGCCTTCTTCGGAGTCCTGTAAAGTCGGAAGCACATTATCGAGACACTTCACCCAAAAACCAAAATCACTTACAAAGGAAATCAAGGGTAGGAAATCTAGGAACGAAATCGTACCAGACCTAAAACCAACCTCTTACTGATGTAGAACTCTACCGGGCACTCTGAGCCTAGAGATTGAGCGGCGCTTTTATATGAGTTTTCAGCTCAGAGTTTCACGGGTCAAAGGGCTTAAGGGACCATATGCCATTGTGGACAATGTGTAAAGGCCTAAAGGAAAGAATTTTGAAACTGGGCAGAACAGGCCAACTGCCATCAGGGATAAAGGGCCAGAAGGAGGACACACATAATTGTGAGGACCGGGTCACCGCCGAGAAATAGAAATGGGCCAATTTGAAAAAATTACTGCAATGGTAGGGACGAACAGCTATAAGGCCCCCCTGGATTGATCAAGTAGATCAAATCCTTCAAATACAGCCGGAACATGCGGGTCCGGCTCCGCGTCCCGATCCCGCGCATTCGTGTCAGTATTACTTATTGATTTTAGGGGTTGCAGTAGGGACCACCCCGCCGGCGCCCCCGCGGGGGTATGGATCGCGTAGGTCAAAGGGCGCAAAGCTCAGCGAAGAGTGCGAGCTCCCTGGTAACCTCTATGCACTCGTCCTTCCTGTTGATTCGAGGACTTTTTGCAGTGATCCACAAGGCTTCGAGGGTCCTTCGAGCTGAGATGTCCTGTTCACGTGCAAGGATCGTGACTTTCACCACGATCTCTTCATCTCGGTGTTTTTGAGCCTTGTGATCACCTAAGGGAGTGCATATTTTGGATCTTTTGAGACCATCCAAGTGCTCTTTAACCCTGACGCAAAGTGGCCTACCCGTTTCCCCCACGTATTGGTCCCCGCACAACTGACAGGTGATTAGATAGACGACTCCCGCGGTCATGCAGTCTCCGTTCCTTCCGAATGGACAGATTACGCAGGAAGGGGTTTGGCAAAGTCGGTCATAAAGGCGGTTCCGGACCAACTGCCTCTTTAGATTTCGAGAGAATATTCAAATCCAGTCTCCATCCATGTCCTGAAGATACCGCTTCTCCTTATGCAAGTCCGAATAGCATGTGCTGCTATATCGGGCTTGCATAAGGAAAGCGGATCTTCAGGACATGGTGAGACTGATTGATATTCCTCCTCGAAATCTAAAGAGGCAGTTGGTCCGGAACCGCCTTTATGACCGACTTTGCCAAACCCCTTCCTGCGTAATCTGTCCATTCGGAAGGAACGGAGACTGCATGACCGCGGGAGTCGTCTATCTAATCACCTGTCAGTTGTGCGGGGACCAATACGTGGGGGAAACGGGTAGGCCACTTTGCGTCAGGGTTAAAGAGCACTGATGCGCTCAAAAGATCCCAAAATATCGCACTCCCTTTAAGCGTGATCACAAGGCTCAAAAAACACCGAGATGAAGAGATCGTGGTGAAAGTCACGATCCTTGCACGTGAACAGGACATCTCAGCTCGAAGGACCCTCGAAGCCTTGTGGATCACTGCAAAAAGTCCTCGAATCAACAGGAAGGACGAGTGCATAGAGGTTACCAGGGAGCTCGCACTCTTCGCTGAGCTTTGCGCCCTTTGACCTACGCGATCCATACCCCCGCGGGGGCGCCGGCGGGGTGGTCCCTACTGCAACCCCTAAAATCAATAATTATACCAATGCGCGGCGATCGGCGGGGACCCGCATGTTCCGGCTGTATTTGAAGGATTGATTACTTGATAAGTCCAGGGGGTGCTTATAAGCGTGGTTCGTCCCACCCAAAGTATTTTTCATGTCCATTTTTATATGTATCGCGGTGAACCCTGTCTCACAATTATGTTGTCTCTCTTCTGGCCCTTTATCCCTGAAGAGCAGTTTGGCCTGTTCTGCCCAAGTTATCAAAATTTCTTTCTTTGGCCTTACCTCGCATCTCATTGTTCACAATGGCATATGGTCCCTTAAGCCCTTTGACCCGTGAAACTCTGAGCTGAAAACTCATATAAAAGCGCCGCTCAATCTCTAGGCTCAGAGTGCCCGGTAGAGTTCTACATCAGTAAGAGGTTGGTTTTAGGTCTGGTACGATTTCGTTCCTAGATTTCCTACCCTTGATTTCCTTTGTAAGTGATTTTGGTTTTTGGGTGAAGTGTCTCGATAATGTGCTTCCGACTTTACAGGACTCCGAAGAAGGCGATTTTCGCCGAAACGTTAGTCTAATAAACGTCGTTACCAATCTCGGAAGGCTAAAGCAGAAGATAAAATGCGTCCCAACGATTTAGATTTCCCTGACCGATCTCATCTTTATACGGGGGGAAGCAAGTAAGAGCGTGTTTGGACGGGTTCTCACTACCTATAGTGGAGCGTGGGTGGAGTTTGAAAGTACGCACGGCCACGGCCCAACAGGTAGAAGAACATGTGGATGAAGCAAAACTTGGTCTGCGGACAGACGGCCATCTTTTTCGGCTTGTTTCTGGGATCTGCCTTGAAAATCGAAAGCCCGTCCAGCTTCGGGGAATGAGGATGTGGGGATGGCATTTAAGGGTGTCCTTGAGTCAAATGGGGACTGTTTTATCGCGATATTCGGCACTATTGTTGAACTATTCCTACCCCAAAAAGCTCAAAAAAAATTTTTTCGCTGAAACGTTGCCTACAGATGTAATTCGATGCGCTGATCACGAATATCTCGTTTCGAGCGCTGGCGTCATTTGGCGCCATTATGCCCCAATTTGGCGTCCACCACTTTTCTCATCAAAGTCGATGAAAACTTGCATATATTAACCGACATCCCGATTACGAATATCACACTGATTTTGAGCGCTGGCGCGCATTGGCGCCAATGGCGCCGGCGCCAAAAATAAATGTTGGATTCGTAATCAGGACCTCAATTAACCCCCATATGCAAGTTTTCATCGACTTTGGTGAAAAAAGTGGTGGGCGCCAAATTGATCCGCCAGCACACGAAACGAGATATTCATGATCAAGGGCATTGGAAGGTGTACACCTATAGGCGAAGTTTCAGCGAAAAAAACTATTTGAGTTTTTAGGGTGGGAATAGTTCAATAGTGCCAGATATCCTCTTTTGACTCAAAGAAGATGTCCAAGTTCTTCTCTTGTTGTTAACCTCGCGGCATTGTTTGGTGATCTGTTTTACATTGCTATTGCTACTCGGAGATTTGTAGTGTGAAATTCGTCTATTCTACGGCTAAACGTTTCGACTTGGTCATCTTCTTCAGAGGCCTAAACAGCGGGTTCGAGCAGCCAATATGAATTAGTGAAAAGCTACCCTTACTAAGAGCCCAACCAACCCTAGCAGTTCTGATGGCGTGTTCGGAACTCAACCCGAAACCCACACAACACGAAGAGTGCACTCACCAAGCAGGACACTTGTTGACGATTCTGAACTTAACGTCGGCTTCATGAACTGGCTGGGGTTCTCTATAGAAGGTGCGCGGAAATGGTACACAACTGAGCATTCGTGCGTTAGGATTCAGAGTGGTCTGCGCCTCGTTATCACGCCTGATCTTATTGCGTAGCAAATCTCTCAGCCTATGAAGACCTCCAACAACTTTACGAAAGTAAGTGCATTTATGTTTTGGGCAGGTGCGAAAGACGGACCCAGATTCAACAGACTTAGCGCATTAGAGGAGAGATGAATGTCGCCAAGAATTGTGACCCTCGCCGAAGTACCATTAACTTGAGCTTCACTACTAGTGTCGCTCTCATATCACCGGATACATATAAAATACGTCCTATCATTAGTTGTGTAGGGGGACCAACCGACAGAATTTCGTGGTTTCTGAACAGCATTGTGGGTCAACTGTTGACCATGGTTCCGTCTCACCTGTCCAACACTAGGCAGTTCCTTGAAATATTACGGTCCTCCGACCTCGGGCGGAGCACTGTAATTGAATCTTTCGACGTTGTTTCACTTACACCAATGTAAAAAACGAGCAGGCTTTA